TTCATCAGAAGTCTCATCTCAAGTCTTCTTATTGGCTTTTTATTGAAACTTGGGAAATAAAAGTGCCATACAGGGAAATGTAGCCAAACAGATCAGAGTGGAAGAACAAAAGCTAGCAAAGGGAACTTATACAGCCTGATGTTATTCAGAGTTTAGTTACAACTGAATAGAAGAATTATGTACAAATTGTTATTTATCATTATATATGTTAACAGAGAATAACCAGTATTCACACATTTAAACCTCCCTCAGACTGAGTACAATATCTATTGACTACATGGCATCTGTATTTTTCTTAGCAACAATATGGAAGTGGTTTGTCATTGCCTTCTTCCAGGACTTTTTTTTGGACATCCCAGGCTTGTCTACAATCTTGGGATTTGTTGATGTTCTCATTCAAGAACTATCTATGACTGACCCTGCTCAGCTTGAGATCAGCCAGTCAGCTGGGGGCTGCCACATGTTTAGTGATACTCAAAATGCAAAATGAAGAAAAGTGTGGATAAGATAACACACCCAAGAATATGCATTATAAACTTAAAATTTTTGAAATAAGCCTTTTATACTCTTAAGTGGAAAAAAATTCTTAAATATGTTTGTTTTCATTTTTTGTATTTATTATTTTAAGTACTCTTGCTTTCCTGAAATGATTTTGACTATTTTTCTTTTTCTTTTGCAAACTGTGTTCCTCTGAGAGGAAGAACAGATGAGAATAATAGAAATAAAAAATATAAAGTCAAGCACAGTAACATTTCATATTCAATATATATCCTACACATCATCTAAGAATGGAAGGAAATTATTGCATTATAAGAAGCACAACTCATTGGTTGTAATAGAAGTTGTATTTAAATAATCTAATATTCAGCCTATGAAGTAAACAAGAATTAAGGAGTTGCACATTCACAAATATTGTTAATTCCATAAAACTGAAGAGAATTTTTAAATAATTGTTTTATTATTTTAACTTAAAAGCTGCATCCTTCTAGTCTTTCACATTCTTGATGATATTTATCTCCTGTCATAGCAGCATACTGGAAAAAAAAAACCCCGACAGAGTTCAAAATTGCTGAAAGTGAGACTTGTTTCTTTCTCAGCTGAATGGGTGAAGCAAAATGGCAACAACTTTGTTGCAAACCACCAACCAACATGTAATTCCAACACCACCTAAAAAAATAAAGAGGTATGCTGTAAATCATTAGTATCAGTAGCTCAATCATATGTATTTAATATGTATAAGAAATATGTTTCCATAGCAAAACTGAATAAAGTAGCTCAAAATTAAAAAAGAAATCTGCCCTTGAGAGTTTAAGAGAAAGTAAGCATTGACTCAGATGATCATATAGAACAAGTAAAATGTAAAATCTAGAGATTTTACGCACACGGGACATAACCCAGAATTATCTGCTTTACTGTAATTTTCATTAAAGTGAATGGGAGTTGTTCAACAAACTGCTTTTAGCATATCAACTTTTCATTTTAAAGGGATATATAACTTGTCCCCAGTGAGAAGTATTCAAGGTGCTTTAAGGAACAAACCAAATATATTATGATTAATAGGTGAAATACATTCCTAATACTAAATATTTAGCCACAATCTAACTCCTTAATATGCAGTTTCCCCTTAAATACTTGAACTATGATAGCTCTAACTAGTGGACATGCTCTCGGACATAGAAAACTGTCCTAGAATCAGAACACTGATTTATTTAGCCCCATATTGTTTATAATGACAGACAGAAGATCATTAGGATTTGGAAGATTTCCAGCTCTATGAAAAATGAATTAATCCTGAAAAACCTGTATGTTTCTGTCTGCTAAGTATATATTTATAGGATATAGATCCAGGGACACAGAGTATAGGCCAAAGTTTTTGAAGAGAATGCACTTAATGTATCTAAAATCAAAAAAGAAATATGTATTAGATTCATACAGAAGACCAGGAAGTATTTTACACGCAATAGCCTTACCTGCCACTCCTGTTGGAAAAGCTACTAAACGTTCTAAAGGGGCTAGCCATTTGCTTGGGAGCACAGTAACTGGTTCAGAGTAATATTTCCAAATTAGCGAGATCATTAGGGCAGCCTGAAATAAAATTTATTATTCAGATATGCATGAAAAGTCCAAACAAGGACCATTGTAGTTTTATTACAGTAACTGTATAAATATTTCTGAAGCTTATTGCGTTCTACATAATATTAACGATATAATTTATTGATGTCACTTTGTGAAAATGACATCTGCATGAATCCAGGTCCCCTTGCTTCATATGAGATAACTTTTCCTTCAAGAAACATCAGAAACACTATTATTCCCTGGCTCATTCTAGATCATCCCTGCATTTCAAGAAAAGGGACTGAGGCATTCTTTCCCAACCTCATCAAGGTACACAGCACTGAACCCAACGTTTTATGATTAGTTTCTCAAAAAAGAAGCAGGAGAAAGGAAAAATACTATGGCTTAATTCCCAAATCTGTCTTCAGAATTGCAATTATTTTAAACAAATGATTGTATGAAACAGTACCGTTCATATAGAAAACTAACACTAACAAGGAGACAGACATCTGGGGAAAAGTTCTAATCTTATTTTCTATGTAGAGTTATTTTTATTACTAATTTATAGTTTTAAGCTACTGCATAAGGTATTTATTTTTATGTTATCTTTATATGATTCAAGTTTACTTACTTGTAAAATGTAGAACACAATATTTATTACCCACTTTATTTTGGCTAGTTGAGCAGTTCGTGTTTTCACTGTTAATAGAAAACAATAATAATCTGTATGATTTATATAAACAGAAGGGATACTTTCATGACAAATCTTATTACTCATTCCAATTTACTCAGAGGATTTTGTTCAATAGAAATATCTTTAGCATTGATTTTATATATTTTTCTTTACTTTTTTTCAAGCAAACAAAATGAAACCACAAATCCCAAAAAGAACATAGAATACTACATATATAAGAAAGCCAAACTTGAATATTGTTATTAAAACATTTCCACAAATTCAACAGTTATAGCAACATCACATGAAAATCAGATTCTTTCAAAAAAATATGTTGAATCTTGATAAGCTGTACTGAAGAACGTGACATGTGAAATAAATTGGATCTTTGTGTGTGTATGTGTGCATGCATGCATGTATGTATATGTGTGTGGTATATGTGTATACACACACACACAAAGAAACATACACAGACAATACTTGTGAGAAAATCCTCTAAGCAATTCCAATTAATTGAATGGAACGTTGCTGCTGGCTTTTTAAAAATAAAGTCTACCATTAATTTGAATAAATTGAAAGTGCACATATAAATTTTATTTCCTTTAAAAAGCTGAAGTGTTCACATGATATGAGCCAGCATATAGCTTAATCCACATGCAAAATGCATTTTGATATAGCCACATTTTGTTTTTTAGTTAAGAAGTTATAAGAGTAGCAACATCTTTGGAAAAAGCTGGCAAAAAAATGGACTGATAATATGCAAATATAATTAACAAATCTGTACCATGAGTCTTAAGCTTATCAGTCATTTTATTAATTTTCCTTTCCAGTCTAGCATATCTGGCAAATTCATCCATCATACTAATGGTAGAAAGTTCTTGCTTCATGTTCTGGATTTCAGATCGCATTTCTGATTCCTGCTCAGCATCCTTTTGTAGAAACCTAGATATCTGATAAAGAGAAGAGGAAGTCTAAAAGGCTATTTAGTCTCATTTCACTATTTTAAATGAATGTCTAAAGTACAGTTAATACATAAAAAATAACCACAACATTCATAAATGAACCTTTTAGTTATTTTCCTAAATATTCTAAACTACAGTATGGGTATGGGCACTGAAGCATGGTTCAAAGCAGAAGCCTTTTAATGTTCAAAGCAATTTTTCCTAGAAAGATCTTTACTACCATGACTAACCTGTTGCCAAGTCTTATTACCTAATTGTTAGACTGATAAGTCTTTGCCTCAACAAACAACATAAAGCACTAGAGGGATATAGCCAGACTTTCATTGTATAAAATATAAAGTAGATTATGTCTTCCTTGGTAATCAATCCATCTGCCTTCCAATAAAATAAAGGAAATAAATTATTAAATCCCAGGCCAGTCTAGGTCACATGGGTACAACTCCAGATACATTTGACACCACTCTTATTTGACAACTGCATCTTCATGAAATTCCTTGCAAACATGTCGTATTCATACATTATCTTTCCAGATATATATCTTTTCATAATGTGAAGAGCCACATTTGTGACTGGCAACCTTATTATAGAGTACCTTCATTACTGTAAATTATAATCCTCAGCTCTCTTTGGTACACTCCTTACAAATACAATACAATATACAATACAAAATACTTTAATGACCAAGTATAAAATATATACAAGGAATTTGTCTTCGGT